ACTCTTATAAGCAATTCTGGAGGGTTTTAATGAGGCTCGAATGATTGAGTTTATCTAAAGGTATTGCAATAGGCAAGCTCATCTCTCCCAGTCTGAGAAGTTGTACACTTTGAATTTCAGCTTGATTCCACTGGCTGAGCTGTTTGTGAATTTCCTAACTCTCTGGATTGTGTTCAGCCACCCATGGGCAGAGAACAGATTGTTCCATTCTTTATAGCTGTTGCTTAGTTTTACAAATTGAAACGTTTGATGAGGTTATATCATTTCTTTATTCTACCACTTTGTAAGCAATTAAAATATTGTGTCGGTCATAATAATGGCAAAAGATCACCATGGATTTATGCATTTTTGTTTTGTTTTGCCTTAGTACCATTCCTACTTGATTCAAGATCTGAGACAGATATATTCAGAGGAGAGTAAACTTTACAGTTGGGAAAAGCTTGAATGATTCGGCCTCCTGTCCACAAATATGCTTTAATTTAAATTCACTGGGGAGTCCTCTGTCCTTTTCCTGTTTTTCCACAAAGTCTTCCCAGACAGGTGGATAGTAAACATAAATGAGAAACTTGGGGCTTGGGGTTGTAGCTGTTTGTTCTATAGGTGTGAGTCCTGTCTTGGAACAGAATGGCTAATCAGAACAGAAGGAAAGAAAAGTGTGGGGTTTGTGGAAGGAAGGGAGGGAAGAAGAGGGGATACTAGGAAGGAAGTAAAAGGAAAAAGGTGGAGTTTGTGTGTGAGTCCTGTAAAGGAGTCAAAGATGTAGGGGAGGCAAAAACGGAAGCCAACTGGCACTGGGAATCAGCAATGCTAATTTCCCCTCCTCACCTTGTAAAGACAACCTCAGAACTAAACAGTGAGTCCTTGTCTTCTGGGGAGAAATAAAAGGAGCTGGTTATGGAGTTGCGAAGATGTGATGTGCAAGTCCTGTAGGGTAGGTGGAAATAATCCCATCTTATAGATCAGACTTGGGTTGTGACTTGCTTCAGGTCACCCAGCTAATGTGGCAGAGCCTGATTTTTAATTCAGGTCTGTTCTTTCCACTACTGTTCAGGATGGCTTCTGTTTATGTTTTTGAGGGGGAAGAATACATGGAAAGATTTTAGTACCAACAAAACAATATAGGCAACAGAGGGGAAGCGTGTGGTGATGGGGAACCAAAGAGGTTCCAGCAGTTCCTTTCTCCTTTTCCTGGGCATAATCCTTTTCTGAGGCTCTGGGGTGCCTTGCCTCTCCATTTCTCAGGTATGGGAAATGTTAGTAATTCTGTGTGTATTAGCAGATACCTCAAACAACTTGTTCAAAATTGAACTGATCTTACCAACCCCCCACCCTCTCAGTAATTGCAACTCCAGCCTTTCAGCTGCTCAGCAACAAACTTTGGAGTCATTGATTCTTTTTTCATAACAAACATCCAGTCTATTGACAAGATTGAGAATCCAGCCGTTTTTCACTAGCTGCACTGCCATACTATTGCTAGTCCAAGCCATCATCATCCTTTCAAAGTTCTGACAGTGCTTCGAGACCCGCACTTCTGATTTCAGTTGCCACCACTCATCCCCTGCTTGCCCATACCGTCCCTCAAACACACCAATGTGCTTCCAGCTCAGCGGCCTTTGTACTTGCAACTCCCTTTCCCTGGAGAAATCTTTCCCTAAGTATCAGCACGGTTAACTCCCTCCCTCATTCTGGTCATGGTTCGACTGTCTTCTTGGCATGCGGGATCTTATTTCCCCCACCAGGGGTCGAACCTGTGAACCCTGCTGTGGAAGTCTTAACCACCGGACCACCAGGGAAGTCCCTTGACCACCTATTTTAAACCACACACTTTCCCCCTTCCATGCTTAATTTTTCTCTGTGGCACAATCACCATTTGATACAGTATGTTTTTCTTCATAATTGTCACGAGGGCAAGGATTTTTGTCAGTTTTTCATTTTTATTTCCTCAGTGCTTATAACTGTACCAGGCCCCAAATAGGTGCTCAATAAATATTTATGTCATTTAGCAGGAGCAGCAGAGCAGTCCGGGAAAATCGCTGCACAGCAAGCTGGCTCAGCTGAGGCTGCTGATGTGGTCAGAGTCCTTCATGCTAACCTTTTGTAAATAATAAAATCAAGTCTCAGATCCCGGATGGACGGATACCGGGCCTCCAACTTTCCAAGAGCGAATGGCCACCATTCTTCCCGCCTTTTGCGAAGAGCTGGAAGGAAGTAGGACGTCCCTGCCCGCGAAGTCAGCAACAAGGTTGCTCCGGCCTGCGAGCGCCACGCTCCGGCCACCACCGCTCCCAGCAGCCGGAACGTTTGCGCGTCTCCACCGCGCGCGGCGGAAGGACTTCGGCGGCGGCCTCAGAGCAAATTGAGCAGAGCTTCCGGCAGAGCGGCCCTCAGCAGGACAGGTGAGGCCGCGGTAAAGGTTTGCCCGGAGCCGAGGCGTGGATCCGAGGCCTGGGAAGTGTGGCAGCGGGAGGGGCCTGCGCGCCTGGAAGCGGGGATTGAATGGCTCAGAACCCCCTCGCAGGGAATGAGGATGTGTTGGAGGGGGAGGAGGGCAGATTCCGTCTAGGGAGCTGCATAGAAGCATCTGGGGCAGCAGTCTGGAGAGTGGCTCTCCTGCCCTAAGGCAGGGCACGAGTTTGGGGGCTTGTGGTCCTGGGTTCTAGCTCGTCACCAGCCTCCAGCAGTGTGGCCTCAATAGAGTTACCAGCCTCTGACCCTTGAGTTCCACACCTGAAAAGCAGGACAGTTACCACTCTTGCCTGTCGCACAGCGCTTGGCAGGGTTAGGTGTGAGGGAAAGCTTCATAAATTGCGCTGTGTGGTGCAGATCTCATTTGTTTATGTGTAGCTTTCTGAGCTCATGTGAAGGAATCATACCATCAGGCTTCCCCAGGGGGAAGTGGCTTTCCTGGGGTTGGATTCCCAGCGATATTTGTAAGAAGATGGAATATTGGGCAGTCATAGGCAGTTGGAGATGCTGACCTAAGAGGTTACCAAGTACATTTTCCTCCAGGCTGCATAAATCCCTTCTCTATTAACTGCATGCTTTGTAAACATCCAGCTTCCCTTTGAACATCTGCGGTTATGGGGATCTTAATACCTCTGTCCTATCCCTGTAATTTCCCATTGCAGACCGTTCGAATTAAGAAGTCCTTGTATGCAGTGAGCCAGAGGTGGTCCTGCTTGCAGCTTCTACTCATATAGTTCTCACTTTGTTTCTGCACTTTCAGAGAAAGTAATAAAATAAAAATAAAATAGTTTAAGTATTGATGTGATGGATGGCAGTAGCCACCTCTTTAAGAATTTAAGCTTTTGATTCTTGACATTCGTGATAAATACAAAAACACCTCCATGGAAGATCAAAATGTTCAATTTAGTCACTGTATGCTGTGTTACTATACTCATCATTAAACCTACAAGGCACCAACATGGTGTTGAAATAGCACTGATGTCAGAATTAATGCACTTCTTGTTATTTCAGGATACTAAAGTGGATCACCTGATCTCCTGAAACAAATGAATCTCTTCCAGCGCCAGGGAGTGGCTTGTTAATTCAGTGAGAGACACACAGAACTTTAGCAAATAATATCTGATTGTAGCAGGTGCCAGAGAAAGCGGTGATGCCATAAAAGCAGTCTTAAACTTGTCAATAGGTTTTAATTCCAGAAGTCCATTGATAAAAATCTATATATATTTAGATTTTTAAGTATATTTTTCTATAGGAGAAATGAAATAAATGAGGTTGAGGTCTTGGTTATTGTCCTCATCACAAAAATTAATCTTTGCCCCTGCCAGTGATGGGGTTTGTTTTGTCCTTAATATCTTGGCACTTAGGATTCCTTTGATCTTTCGTTTATGGTAGAAGGAAGTTGAAAGTGAGAATGTAGAATGGGGAGGGAGATTCCATTGGGGAGGGTGGAGGTGTGGATGTGACGGGGGTGTTTATTACTTGCTTATGGTTAGTAGAGTACTCCCAACACCAATTTTATCCCTGATTATTATTATTATTTTTTCAAATCCTGTGATCTTTTTTCTAAAATAACATGTGAAATCCAGATAAAACAAAATGCAAATGTTTTAAATTTTTAACTTTGAGATAATTTTAGATTTACAGAAAAGTTGCAAACAAAGAAAAGTACAGAGTTTCCACATAACCTCCCTCTTGAGACAGCCTGAGTTAATGTATAAAGTTCCTTTCCAAATGCTTACTAAAATTATTTAAATAATAATGAAATTATTAAATAATTAAATAAAATTTAAAATAAATTAATTGAGATCAAAATCAAGGTGGGGTATCCCTGATTATTAAAGAAATACATGTTCATATTGAAAATACGAAAATACAGAAAAGAATAAAGAAGCAAAAAACCAATCATCCTTAATCATAACATCCATCAAAACCATTTGTCCTATTTATTGAATTACATATTTCCTTTTTCTTTTAATAGTTGGGGTTATAGTGTAGGTTTAATATTGTATTTTTTAAAAAATTATGAGCCATAAGCATTTATCATTTATGAATAATAATAAATTTCATATAAAAACTTGATTATGAGAAAATTCACACAAACACAAAGGTGGAAAGATAGTACAGTGAATCGCCATGTATTCACCACTCAGCTATAATAAGCAGCAGTTGTGGCTCATGTTTCATCTACACCTGTACCCACTTCCCATAATTCTATTGTTCTGTCCTATGACACATCTTTAATACATTTTTGTTTTTTTTTTAATTGTAAAGAGATGCTTATTTGTGGTGGTGCCAAATTTGTGCATAATTATTCATATTCTTTCTTGGGGATGGGAAAAGAGTTCCATGAGGATTTTAAAGTGTTTTTCATTCAGCTACAATTATTGAGTAAATTGCAAAAAATAAGATGATTTTGCATTCTGAGTTTTTTTTTACTTTGTATGTTTACTTCCCGCTCTTTACTTTTCAAATTTAATTGTATGCATTTGGTGACAAACATCTTTAATCAATTCACAATCTAATGATTTTTTTTTTTACAGAATATTGAATAATACAATACAGTAAGAAAAAAATGGATGAAGAGCCTGAAAGAACTAAGCGATGGGAAGGAGGCTATGAAAGAACATGGTAAGTAGGGCATTATTACTTTCCCTTCCCTTTTAGGTTTTGTTTCTTTGGTTTTGTTTTTACAACTTTATTGAACTATATTTTACACATGTTAACATTCACCTGTTTCTTATGTATAATTCAATGATTTTTAGAAAATTTACTGGATTGTGCAATCATCAACATAAATCAGTTTTAGAACATTTTTACCACCCCAGTAATATCCCTCATGTCCATTTACAATTAATTCCATTCCCACCTCCAGTCCTAGGCAACTACTGTGTGCTTTCTGTTTCTCTAGATTTGCCCTTTCTGGACATTTCATGTAAATGTAATCATATAATATGTGGTCAGTTGTGTCTGACTTCTTTAACTGAACATACTGTTTTCAAGTTCATCCATGTTTTTGCATGAATCAGTAATTCATTCCTTTTTATTGCTGAATAGTATTCTGTTAATATGTTTATGCCATGTTTTTATTCATCCTTTCACCATTTGATGGACATTTATATTGTTTATAATTTTTGGCTGTTATGAATAATGCAGCTGTGAACATTCAGGTGCAAATCTTCGTGTGGACATATGTTTTCATTTCCCTTGGGTTGATAAAATTTTAGCTTATCTTTTCAAACAAGTAATTATTGCTTACAGGGAGATTCTTAAAGAAGATGAATCAGGATCACTTAAAGCTACAATAGAAGACATTCTCTTCAAAGCAAAGAGAAAAAGGTAGGTAAACTTTTTGTGTGTTACAAAAGGTAAAATATATTCCTTTAGGTGTTTCTGTCCACTTATGGCCACTCCTTGGTACTTCATATGAGCTGTTTCAGGGAAACTGACTTGTAGCCTTCTAAATATCGGGAAGGAGCCAGCAACCTAGTGCCTCATCAGGGAAATTGATCTTCAGGGACTGTCCAAAATGCCCATAATTATATGCATCCATAAGTTAATAATTTATTTCACTAAAAAGATGCAGGTTAGTTGAAAAGTTGTAATGATTTTTCAGGTAGTAGATGGTATTCCATTAAAATGTTTGCATAATTTTAACAGGGTATTTGAGCACCATGGACAAGTTCGACTTGGAATGGTATGTTATTCTTTTTTCCTTTTCTGGTACAGGACTAGTTTGAGTTAGAGAAACATTCTGGCTTAATAGAATAAACAACAGTAAAACAAACTTTTTAAGGGAATATATTAAAAATATATGTGTAGAATATGTGAATACTAAATGACATTTTTACTTCTTGATCAAAAATGTATTTGAAAATTGTTCTTATTTGTATGTTTTGTTTTGGGGGATTTTTTTTGGTAGATGCGCCATCTTTATGTGGTAGTAGATGGATCAAGAACGATGGAAGACCAGGATTTAAAGCCAAATAGACTGACATGTACTTTAAAGGTATACTAAAATTATTCTAATTTATACTACATGTGAGGAAGGATGCTGAATTCTGGAAAAGAAATGGTTTTAAAGAAAGCAATCTTTTTTTTTTTTTTGAGCTAATACAAACTATAGCTAAGTAGAAGTGCTACTGGATCATTTACGGAAATGGTATACCAAAATAGCTAATTATTTATGCCCTTAATTCCACTCTGTGTTAGGATCTTGCTTTGTCAGTTATCCCTTTCTTTATTGAATCTTCATTCTCCTTTGACTTACTTGAATCAATCTCCTCAGCTTATAAACACATTCAGATTATTCCTAATTTATTAAAACCCATCCTCAATTTTGCTTATTCTCCTGTTTGTCTTTATTGGATCTTTTCCTTGCTTAGATTGTTTCTGTCTTATATGTCCAAATGGTTCCATCTTTTAAGGCCTAGCTCAAACCTATCTCATCACTTACTGTTTCAAATTCAGGTTTATTTAATATTTTAATTTTTATTTATTTAATATTTCAAAATTTATTATTTTTTATTTATTTAATATTTTTACTTCTGAACATGTTTTGAAAATCTGTAAACTTAAAAATCATTAGAAACAATGCTTCATAAATAGATTTCACAGGGACTTCCCTGGTGGTGCAGTGGTTAAGAATCCGCCTGCCAATGCAGGGGACACGGGTTCAGTCCCTGGTCCAGGAAGATCCCACATGCTGTGGAGCAACAAAACCTGTGCGCCACAACTACTGAAGCCTGCACTCTAGAGCCTGCGAGCCACAACTACTGAAGCCCACGTGCCACAACTACTGAAGCCCACATGCCTAGAGCCTGTGCTCCTCAACAAGAGAAGCCACCACAATGAGAAGCCTGCGCACCACAATGAAGAGTAGCCCCTGCTCCCCGCAACTAGAGAAAGCCCACGTGCAGCAACGAAGACCCAACGCAGCCAAAAACAAATAAATTAATTAAAAAAAAAAAAGATTGCACAAAACCTGTTTTCTGTGGTTGTTGTTTTGCCCTTATCTAGTATTTCCTTTTTGTTTTCTTTGAACAGTTGTTGGAATACTTCGTAGAGGAATATTTTGATCAAAATCCTATTAGTCAGGTATGTAGATAAGTGATATAATTCAGAATTAGCATCCTGATATTATTGCGAAATATAATTTATTTTTTAAAACATTGTACATATATTCTATTGGTGATCAAGTGATTCAGATCGTGTATAAGTTTCTGGGACACTTAGCAATGAAAAGCGAGATAACTCTAGAAGTTAATGTACAGTGAGCACATAGCTCAGTTTATATCAGAAGTTTCTCATGTTACTTATTTCTTTTGTAATTAGTCATTTATTTAGTTATGTACGTTCTTATCAAGAAGAAATAATTTGTTAAATTAATAATCATTTTTGTTTTTATTTTGAGATTGGAATAATTGTAACAAAGAGTAAAAGAGCTGAAAAACTGACTGAACTCTCAGGTATGCATAAAATTACCTTTACAGCACTCAAGGACTTGGCTTTATTTACCCAACCTTGTAACTCTGTTTGTAAGGTTGCCTTATAAGTAAAATGAAGCCTTTCTGCAGGCTCTTTAGGTAAAACACTTAAAAAACCCTCTATTAAACTCTTGGTCTCTAAAATGACCTGTTTTTTTGTTTTGTTTTGTTTTGTCGCCCACGTGGCATGAGGGATCTTAGTTCCCCAACCAGGGATCAAACCTGTGTCCCCTGCAATGGAAGCGCAGAGTCTTAACCACTGGACTGCCAGGGAAGTCCCTAAAATGACCTGTTTTAAATTCAGTTCTGTTTTTTCATTTTTTTTTTTTTTAAATTGAGTTCTGCACAGTCTTGAATAGTATTATAATGAATGTAAATGTGTTTATTCTTATCCTGAAAGTATTAAAATAAAATTATTTTAACCATTCAGAAGATCCACTTAATCTTAAAATTAATTTTTTAAAGGTAAACCTCTAAAGAACAAAGAGTATAAAAATTGAATTGTAGTTGTTAATGATTAGATTTTCTGCTTGCATGACATGCCTAATTGAATTTTATTCTCTTAAGAGATAATAATGGCAGATTTTATTTGCTTTGGTATATGTGCTATTGCAAACTTACGTCACTAATTCTATTTTATTTTCTGTAAAATACACTGTCCCTTAAATGTGGTTCTCAACCTTTCATCCTCACCAATACACATAAAATTGACACACTTCCATCATTAGTAATTTTTCATTATGGCAGTAAGTAGTGAAGTGTATGTTAGCCTGGGGTCATCCAGGAAACTCAGTTGGAAGTAATCCAGAAAATCACAAACTAGCTTAAGGGCAAAGGAGAAATTACTGGCTCATGTTGAAAGGTGGGCTGACTTCACATATAGTTGTTTCTGTCTGGGTTCATTCTCTGATAGGTTTTCTGAGAGGTGAAAAGATGTCTATTAATAGCCCAAGTCTACATGACCCTCCTAGTCCATAGCCTCAGCACAGGTTCCAAAGAAGACTCTTATTGACCCTGATTTGATCTGCACATCCATGAGCCTTCAAAGTGGCCAAGGGAATGAAGTATTTTGTTGGATTACATGTCTGTGTCTGGAGTAGGGTAGAAGCAGGGTAAGTTCCCTTTGAACCACGTAGTCTAAACTGGATTCTTATACAGTGAAGGAAGGATGGTTCCCCTAAGAAAAGGATGTAGGGCCGACCCTCTTGCATGCCCCCTACCCCAAGTTAATAGTAATATTCTGTGGGTGCACAGAGATGAAAAATCCTCTGGTGATTCTTATAGGCCTTTTGAAAGTACCCTCTCTTCCTCTGAACAGAATCACTGCTATAAACCACAATGACAGTAATGTAAGTATGCTTTTTTTCTATACTCATAACATAGTAGGAGATAAAAAATTTATTTGTATGTTATGGTAGAAAGAAAAGTGGATAGAGAGACAGAAGATTTTGAGTGTTGGTCCTGCCACTGGGTAGGCATATGTCTTTGGGCAAATCACTTAACTTACTAGATTTGTTTCTCAGTTATGAAATGAAGGAATTAGACTTAGGTACTTTTCATTTCTAAAATTTTATGATTCCAAGAATAAATACTTGCAGTATATAGCTGACCCTTGAACAACTTGAGGATTAGGAATGCTGACCCTCTGCACAGTTGAAAATCTGCATATAACTTTACAGTCGGTGCTCTGTTTCAGTGGGCCCACCTCCGTGAGTTCAACCAACTGCAGATCATGTAGTACTGTAGTACATACTTAGTGAAAAAAAATCTGCCTATAAGTAGACCCACATAGTTCAAACACTTACTGTTCAAGGGTCCACTGTATATTAACTATGGCAAATGGTTAACATTTTTAAACTTATTCAAATAAATAAGAACACCAAGAAGCTCCAAGTAGATGTATGGGCAAAGAAGATAAACAGTGCATGCCAGAAAAAAAGAGGAATTAAATAACTATTAAAAAAGAAAGTTTAGCCAAACTAGTGTTAAAAAAAAAAAAAAGCCCACTCAACAACATTTTACATATTTTAAATGACCAAAATGAAGTTTCAAAAGCAATATATGACTTGCTGAACCATGGAGAAACTGGTACTTATAATGCTGATAGTCTGGTTAATTTGTTTAACATTCTCTGGAAAAGAGCCATAAAAATGTTCCTTGGAGGACTTCCCTGGTGGTCCTGTGGTTAGGACTCCACACTTTCATTGCTGAGGGCACGGGTTCAATCCCTGGTCAGGGAACTAAGATCCCACAAGCCGTGTGACACGGCCAAGAGGGAAAAAAAAAAAGGTATTAAAAAAAAATATTCCTTGGAGTATACTTAGGAAATGTTATGAAAGAAGAAAAAGCCTCACTCTACAAATATACTGTCTGCAGTGGTATGTATTGGGTTGGCCAAAAAGTTCGTTCGGGATTTTCCGACGATGTTGCAGAAAAACCTGAACGAACTCTGGCCAACCCACTATAATAGTGACAAATTGGAAATAAATGTTCGGTGGTATGAAGGTAGTTTGCTATATGATAAACTCGATGTTTCATTGTTAATTAATATGAAGACAATGTTGAAATAGGAGGAAATGTCTGAAGAATACCATATTTTATTGAATCTCAGATTCTATCATTTGTAAGATACCTTTATTTAATGAGCCATCAAGAAGGAAACACTCTAGCAATTAACCTTTGATACATTGTCAAATGATATGTGAATTGTTCATACCAGCTTCTTGGTGGTTTGACATGCCTGTCAACTATTCTAAAGAATTTGGCGGTTTTTCTTCCCTTCATTTGTATTGCTTAGCATGAGACAGTCTTTTCAGATGTTATTTCAATAACAACGTAACACAGTTTTGTCTCTTTGTGGAAATCCTCTTTCTTGGGTCTTATAAAGTACTTGTTTTTTACCCCTGAAGAAAAAAATGGAATTGCAGGCATTCTTCTATCAATGAGTTTTTGTTTCACCAATAACAAATTTACACCTCACTGTTCTGTTCCATGCCTTTCTACATAAAAATATAACCGTCTGTATTAGCCTTTCTAAAAACACTTTAAATCGCAGTTAAACTCAACATGAACAACACAAACAATGCACATGATACAGTTGAAGCAGCAACACATCAACAGCATTCATAGGTTCGCACATGAGCAGGCAGTGACAGCTGTGTCACAAACGCTGCCTGGCTGCCAGTGATTGTAAGACACATCGTGATTTCAGAGATGTTAAAATGTGAACATATATTAGTATTAAAAATGATGAAATAGGAAATATTAAGAGTAAAAATGTATGCACTCTAGGTTAATATTATTTAAATGTGTGTTAATAGATTATTTGTATTCTGTTTCTTCAGTATGAGTGAGACTATATAACAACATTTCTGATGAAAGTACAACTTGCTGATAAGAACCTGCTATATAAAAAATAAAATAAAATTCAAAAATTCAAAAAAAAATGCAACTTGCTAAAAATGTAAATCAAAGGGATTCTGTTGTTTAACATCATAGATATGTAAATTTGGGAGAAAGGTAAATTTCTATAATGTATATATAGATTATTTTTATTAAAAGTAGATTATTCCATTTCTATTTTAGGAAACTCAAGGAAACACATAATATCTTTGAAGAAAGCTATAGATATGACTTGCCATGGAGAGCCATCTCTTTATAACTCCTTAAGCATGGCTATGCAGACTCTAAAGTTAGTATTTTACACTTATTGTTTATAATTTATTTCAAAGTTTTTTGAATGAGTTAAGTTGAAATGATAATATGTTAATATGCATCTCCATAAACCCAGCTGTAATGAAATCATTATTGAGAGAAATATGTAATGTCATTTATAATGTTTAGTATGGTGTTGGTAAGTAATTTTTATTTTACATTTTAGTTGCTGAGGTATATCCTTAAAGGTTTTAGAAAAATATAATTAAAGCTGTAGTAATATTAGTAGTACAAAAGAAATATGATAAAAAATATTTTATTGAAAATTGATTGTATGTGCAGTTTAATGTGGTATAATAACTGAGTTTGTTGTACATTGGTTTTTATTAACTTATTTTGTAATACATCTATAAGTTAATAGCACTTTTCTAGCAAGTTTAACTATGTGGAATATAGTTAAAGCCCCAAAGAAAAGATTCAATATATTTAAAGCTTATATATTTTATCCCTGGATAGTCTGTCCTGACTCAGATTTTTATACCTTTATATGATACTTTTTTAGTTTTGAAGTAGATGAGAAGGAGGTAACACACATAGTGAAGGTAGGCACAACAGCAGCATCTACAAGTGAAAGCTGAGCCTAACAATGAAAATATAAGCAGGAAAGCTATAAATAGTTGATAAAATTGCTCCAAAAAGCATAGAAATATCTATTTGGTATAAAGGAGAACAGCTCATCACATCTTAAAATCCCGTAAACCGTCATTGAATTAAATGGTACACAAACATTACTGTTTATGAATATTATGACTGAATCAACATGAGATTAAATTGTCTTTAAAAAAGAAGTATGTTACTATTTTCAAGCCACACATATGCACCTTAAAGTTGATTCCTGTGGTATTGTCACACTTTCCAGTGTACACTTTAGACTTTGTATGAAACAAATCTATTAGAATGTAAGCTTCATGATGTCAGGAACCTTGTTGGTCTTGTCTATCACTTTATCCCCAGAACTTAAAAGAGTATTCAAGAAATATTTATTGAATGAATAAGTGAATCAATGAATTTTTTTAAGTGTGTAGCTAATTTTAGAAAAATTGACATTAAGGTTTTTAGAGTATACTCACAATTCATTCCTTTGTAATGTTGAAATAAATGGGGTTATTCTGTAGTCTAAGTGTGTAAACCATGTGTACTATTGTTTCTGAGTTAAGTTTTTTATCAGTGTAATTTGTTATACCTAATTGGAGTGGTTTTTATCTTTCTTTAGACACATGCCCGGACATACAAGTAGAGAAGTCCTAATCATCTTTAGCAGTCTCACAACCTGTGATCCATCTAATATCTATGATCTAATCAAGGTAGAACCAATAATTTCTTCATAATCAAAATCGAAGTTACAACTCTAAAGAGAATTCTATAGTGAATTTATTACTAGTTTTCAGAACATTCTATTTTTCAAACACATTAATTATTCAATTTTTTTTCTTCCCTCAAAACTCACCATTTACTTGGATTTTACGAAGACCCTAAAGGCAGCTAAAATTAGAGTGTCTGTTATTGGATTGTCTGCAGAGGTTCGGGTTTGCACTGTGCTTGCTCGTGAAACTGGTGGTATATATCTAGAATCTTCAATATTTACTCATAATTACTATGTAAAGTAACAATTTATTAATTAGGATGTTTTTATATGTTTTTTAAGCTGCTAAACTTAAATCAGTTCATGTCCTGAAGTCCAAAATATGGGTAGTTACATTAAATATATCACCGATTCTATAAGATATCATCTCAGAATGCAAGGAATTTTCAGTAGTTATGTCAGTGTTCAGAGGAAGCATTATAACTCTTGAAAAGCTAGAAATTTTACTATATTAATACTTAGTGAAGAACTTGTAACTTGGCTTTAATTAAATTGTAATTACAGTTATTCCTAGAGAAGTCAATTTAGAGATGTTATTTAAATAAAGTTTTTGAAAAATGATAATTTAACTTAAGAATTTACTTTGAAAATGAACATTTTCAGATGGTAAAACTTTTACAGAATTATATAGAAATTACAGTTCATTCTTATGTCTGGAAAGCTGTTGTTTCTTCTCTTTTACTTCTCGTCTTGTTAGGCACATACCATGTTATTTTAGATGAAAGCCATTACAAAGAATTGCTGACACAACATGTTAGTCCTCCTCCTGCTAGCTCAAGCTCTGAATGCTCACTTATTCGTATGGGTAAGTATTTATTTTGTGTAATTTAATTAATTAATTTTTATTTTTAATTTTCTTTTTGGCCGCACCACTTGCAGGATCTTAAATAGTTCCCCAACCCGGGGTTGAACCCGGGCCACTGCAGTGAAAGTGCCAAGTCCTAACCACTGGACCGCCAGGGAACTCCCTATTTTGTGTTATTTTAAAATAGACATTTAAAAAAATATATTTTGACTCAAGCTAGACTTTCTATCTCATCTGCACAAGTTATTTTAACGTTTAAGAATTTCTTATATTTAACTTAAATGTTTTATAATTAGAGAAAATTATGCTGTTGAAGCAATTTTGGGAAATACAGAGAAGTAAAAAGAAAATTAAACTCACTTGTAGTCCTATCACTCAAGGAACACTACTGTTTTTTTTTTTTAATTGTTAAGGTTAGAAAGGTATAAAGACACTGTGTTTATAGAGAAATTCTTGTATTAAATCAAAAAAGCTATAAAATCTGCTGTACTGTTTTATCAAAGCTGTGTAATAATTATTATTTTATAGTAAACATTTATTTGTAAATTGAAATTGAAAGAGCCCAACTATTTTGTAATTTGTAATTGAAAAAGCCCAACTTTTTCAATACAAAAACAGACATGTGGGGCTTCCCTGGTGGCGCAGTGGTTGAGAGTCCGCCTGCCATGGGGTTTACAAATATAAATGCATATTTCAATACCAGACATTTGAAAGAAAAAGAGGGAAAAAAAAGGTAGATTTTCTGTCCCCTAGAGCTATGCCATCCAATATAGCAGCCACTTGTCACTTGTGACTCTTGAACAGTTGCAGTGTGGCTGGTCTGAATTAAGAGATGCCCTAAGTACAAACACACATTGGGTTTTAAAGATTCAGTACAAAAAAATGTAAAATATCTTGTTTCCATATTGATTACATATTGAAATCATAACACTTTATTTATTTACTCATTCATTCATTCATTTATTTTTGGCTGTGAGGCAGGCATGCGGGATCCCAGTTCAGCAAGCAGGGATCGAACCCACGCCCCCTGCAGTGGAAGTGCAGAGTCTTAACCACTAGACTGCTAGGGAACTCCCCAAATCACAACATTTTAGATGAACTAAATATATTTTAAAAATTAATTTTGCCTCTTTTTACTTTTAAAAATGTGGCTACTGGGAATTCCCTGGCGACCCAGTGGTTAGGACTCTGCGCTTTCACTGCAGAAGGTGTGGGTTCAATCCCTGGCTGGGGAACTAAGATCCCGCCAAAAAAAAAAAAATGGGGCTAAAAAAAAAAAAAAAAAAAGAGACTCCTTGTTTAATATGCATTTTTAAACTGTCAGTGAGATGGAATGCTTTTCTGCCTTGTTTTTGGCTATTTATAGTACTGTTCAACCTCTCCTGTTTCCTCATCTCACGTGATATTAGTATCTATTTCATTGTGTGTTGCAAGGATTGAGTTAATACAGACCAAGTATTTAGAGTAATGCTTGATATAAACACTCAGTACATTTTAGATATTATGTTGGCTAATCTTTTCGATTTACTGATACATTTCCTTAGCCTATCTTAAAGTTATTTTTAAACTTATAATAATTCTCCAAATTGATTTATTAGAACCATTTAGGAATATCAACCCATTTTCAGTCACCTGATGCAAATGTTTTTTCAGTTGGTCATTTTCCTTTACTTTTATTTATTTGTTTTGAAATGTAGATAGGTTTAAAATTTTTATATAGAATGAAATTTCTCTCTTTTTATGGTTTCTGCTTTTCTTGGACTTTTCAGAATTTAAAAATATATATGGAAAATAGACTACATGGGTTTGGACATCCCAAAATTTTAAACTAGGAGGATGTTCTTATATAAAATGAAAGTAGACTATATTATAGACTCCTCTGTTATATCAGAAAGTATTTAAAAATTACACACATTTTCTTTTTTAAAAGCAGTGTGTGTTAAGCGTTATTAAATGAGAAAATATGGATATGACCTTTAGAATCTGAGGCCATATGTATGGACAGATCTTTCCCCCATTTCCTCTACTATTAATTCTTTTTTAAACTGGGAATTACTGTCAGTTTGACCGTGCTATAATAAACATATCTAAAAGGCAGGAAAGAGAACTTTTGCACAACTTAGTGAGCTTTCTGGTAGGAACATTTTTAGGTTTCTATTACTAGAATTTTTCTGTTTCCTTGAGAGAAAAAAAAGTAATACATTTTCTTCTGTGAAGGATTTCCTCAGCATACCATTGCTTCTCTGTCTGATCAAGATGCAAAACCCTCTTTCAGTATGGCGTAAGTAAAAACCTTGAAATTGTCCGTGATAATGTTTTTACATTGTTAAGTCCTTCCTGTAAGTTATAAATTTAAAAGATGGACTTGAAATGTAATGGCTTTTGTAGAAGATTACTTTCTATGTAGCTGTAAAAAGGAGTGAAAACTATATATACTCCTGTAATATTACTAAGTAAAACAGTAAGGTAGAGAAAAGTGTATAGTGTGCTACCGATCATCTAAGAAGAGGGTGGAGGTTTGAGTAGATACACATACTTGTTTATATTAATAATAAAAATAGTAATGAAACCAAAAAGTAAAAACTAAAAATATGTTTACTAATGCAACGTGTGGAGAAAGGCAAAGAGATAGATCCTAGACTTTTCTGCATATAACTTGTTTTAACTTAGGAGCTTTACATTTTACATAATTATAAAACAAAAGTAAATTTAAGAAAATAATTCTTAAAACTCATAAATAAGACTACTGTCTATAGCTATAAAAGTGTAATAGGGACTAGATTTACACTTCTGTCTCCTTGTAGAAAACCAAACAAAATATACAAAACTGTGGTTTTCGTACATTGGACAACAGGCAGTGCAGATAGTGATCCCTGCAAGACGAGAAACAAATGAGGTGGGCCCTATGATTGCAGCTTACTGCCTAGAGAGAATTTCCAGGCTGCTGTGCAGGGAGGGAAGACCCACACAGAACCAGGAGGTTTTGCTCCGTTCAGAAACAAAGTTCAGAGTTTGGGGGGCGGGGGGGTGGAAGCGGCTACCATTTTGCAGGGCAGAGTACTTGAGAGTAAAGAGCTGCACAGAGAGCTCTGGAGAGCTTCCTCTGAAGCTCCCCATGAGTCATTAGCTGAGTGTTGATCTGTACATTCCTGCCGGGAATCTCCTGGAGGCCAGGGAAAGAACTGGAGAGGAGCAGCAGAACAATCCCTAGAGCTCACACGGGGCAGGGAGTAGTTCATGTTACCACCAGTCAGTGTGGAAAGGCCTCTTAAAACCGCAGGCATTGAATAGAGTCCACAGTAATGAAACCAAGTTAACTCTAGATTAGCAGCTGTTCTGGACAGCCTAACAAACGTAAAAGCAAGTCTTGGCATCATACTATTTCACAGTTACTTAAGTATATTCCAGAAAAAGCCACAGTGTATTTAAGGCAATGCAAAAAAAAAAAAAATCCAGCACCCAAAACAGAGCAAAATTCACAATATCTGGCAACCAATCAAAAATTACCAGTCATGCAAAGAAGTAGGAAAGTATGACCCATAACAAGGAGAAAAATCGTAGAATGGAAACATATCCAGAAATAACACAGTTGATAGAAGTAATAGGTTTGGTGTTAAAATAATTATTGTAAATATACTCCATATGCTCAGGAAAGTTGAGGAGTACATGAGTATGATAGGAGATATGAAAGATAGAAAAAAGACCCCAATCAAATTTCTAGAGATGAAGAATACAGTGTTTTAGATGAAAAATAAGCTGGATTAGGATTAACAGCAGATTAGTCACTGAAGAAGAGAAGGTGAGTGAATTCAAAGACATTAATGGAAACTATTCAAAACAAAATGCAGAGAGGAAAAAAAAGACAAAAATGAACAGAGTGTAAGTGAGCAGTGAAACAACTTGAAGGTTTTAAAATCAAAGTGGCTTCTGCTCTAACTGCTCACATCTTTATATATCACTTTTTCAAAAGTAATGTTTCCCCCCACAGGCATCTGGATAGCAACACTGAGCCAGGACTTACATTAGGAGGCTATTTCTGCCCACAGTGTCGGGCAAAGTACTGTGAGCTTCCTGTTGAATGTAAAATCTGTGGTAAGAAACCAACTGTTCATGATCCAGTAAATTAATCTTGAATAACTTCTTACCTATATTGCTATTAAAATAAATATAAATATTAAGCTCTGCCTATGTTTCTGGATTTAATCTGTAAAAAAGACATAGATTACTTTTTTCATTGTGTGCCTAGTACTCCATTTTTAAAGATAAACATGGCATTCTAAAAGAGTTTCCTAATTCTCTTTTTGAAAAAAATTATGTTCTTTAAAGGCAGTGCAGTAGATCTAGTAGACATTTTTGCACCTCTTCATAAAATAAATATATATAAGGAGAACAAGAAGTTAAAGTAACAGAATTGTAGAATTTTATTTAATTTATAAGTAAGGAAATATGCCAAGAGAGGTCACATACTTAGTGACAGAACTAAGACTCCATCCTGGAGTCTCATTTTATGGCCACAGGTAAACTAAAGAAATGAATGCCTGCAATCCTAAAAAAAAGAACTTGAAAATATTTAGCTTAAGTTATATCATTTGACATTTCAGCCATCATCTTTATGAGGTTTGGGTTATTAAATATGTCTTTCTGCTTTATGTGTTAGGTCTTACTTTGGTGTCTGCTCCCCACTTGGCACGGTCTTACCATCACTTATTTCCTTTGGATGCTTTTCAGGATATTCCCCTGGAAGAACATAATGGAGAAAGGTATATGAGTTTTGAGTAATCTGTATCTGTTACAAGTGATAATGTTTGAATATATTGTTACTACATTAAAAAGAGTCATATTCACTTGGTCACGATTACTGCTAATATAGAAGATGAGATGTAGAATGCCTTGTTTATGACTGAAATGATTCATTAAACAGATCTGGATCTCCAGAGATCTGTTAATTTCCCTAAACCCATCTATGTGTAGTAAGAGTGGTGGTATTGTGGTAAATCAGCTCTCCAAAAAGAAAAAAAAAAAAGCCCCGTTTTGTAGCATTTGCTGATTTCCATGGTATAAAACTGGAAGATGTATCCAGAAGGCCTAATATCAAAATAATATAAAAAATAAAGAAAAGATCAAATGAAGAGTATGAAAGAAATATTCAAGGATATTTTCTACTATCGAAGGAAAAAACTTTCTAGATTGAAAGGGACTGTCAAGTGCCTGACATATTGAAGGCAGACCTGCACTAAAGTGTATCATTGTGAAATTTCAGAATACACAGCAAAATACTAACCCTAAACATTTCTGGAGCGGGAGAATTGGGTCACATGACCTGGAATTAAAATTGTTTGGCTTCTTGTGAGCAACACTGGATGCTGACGTGGAGCAATTTCCTTCAAAATTTGGAATGAGAATTATTACCAACCTGAATTATATACCTAGCCAAGGTATTTAAATGTAGGTAGAATAGGGACTTCCCCGGCAGTCCAGTGGTTAAGACTCTGTGCTTCCAATGCAGGGGGTGTGGGTTTGATCTCTGGTTAGGGAACTAAGTTCCTACATGATGCACAGCGCAGCCAAAAAAAAAGTGTAGGTAGAATAAAGATATTTTCAGACTTGTAAGGTCTCAAGAGACTTGCTTGGGAAGCTGTGGAAGAGATGATTCAAAAGAACTGAAAAAGAGAATGAATGAAAGAGAATAATATTTACCTAATTCAAAAGTGGCTAAAGAAAGCTGTAGGATGACATCCTAGAATGACACTTGTATGTCAGATATGGAGAACAGTCAGTCCAGTTTGGAGAAGGTCAGAATGCTCCAGGAGAGATGTCACCAGAGGATGGAAACTACAGAATTCCTGATGTAGCTGAACATAGCAAGAGGATATTCAGACTTCTCAGGGATCGGTTGGGGCTGAGTTAGTGGTAATTAGAAAACTTAAGCTTATGAATAACAATACAGTTATTAACTCCAGGAGAAAGTGTTTTACAGAGAGGAAAATTTGTATGGCATGGCTCAGCTGAGTATGTCTATGTAGTCATAATAAACTAAACATTTAATATTGTTCTATCCAAAATGACTTAACAAATGTCATTCTCAATTATTTCTATGTAGTTATGTGTACCCATGCTATTGGTTCAAGATAGTTGAAAGAGAATTAAAATCTCATCTTCTGTAGTGGCAGGATCATAGCCAATGGCCTATGAAAAAAACCAAGAGGTAGCACTATGAGCATTTGCTCTGGAAATCAAGTCAGGGTGGGTAGGGACAGAACCGCACTCTTGCAATAAATTTTGAGAACTTTTAATTCTTTAAACCATTCCTTGAAAATTAAGCCCTTAGGCATCCATTTTTATGATAAATTAACTTCTATCCATCTAGACTTGTACGAGCTGTCTGCTGTCTTTGGGAAAGTTGAAAAATAATCATGCAAATCATTTTCTGTAGGTCTTAATTCCCTTGCAGAATACCAGCTGAGAAATACTCATATTTAACCTTGATGAAAATAAAATTTGTCTAAGGAAGATTTTAAGCTGTCAGATGACCTTGGGATTTACTGTGGAATTTTCTTAAATTATTGGTATTCTTAATTCTTTCTCCTAAAAATCATATGTAAAGATAATTACAGTTGACCCTTGAACAACATGGATTTGAACTGCAAGGGTCCACATACTTGTAGATTTTTTTCCATAAATACATACTACAGTACATGATCCACAGTTGGTTGAATCCTCAGATGTGGAACTGCTGATACAGAGGGTCAGAGAGCCAGAGGGCCAACTGTTAAGTTATACTCAGATTTTTGACCTTGGGGATTGGTACCCCTAGCCTGCGTGTTGTTCAAGGGTCAACTGTACTTATTAATAAGAGAATTCTTGCTGAAATTTTCCTGAGCTGTTTTAATGAGTGAGTCCTTAACAAAATGATTCTTAAACTTTCTTTTTCAGATTTTGTTATGCCTGTCAGGGGGAATTGAAAGACCAACATGTAAGTTCATGTGCTTTGTAAATATTAAGTATTGTACGATAAATATTGAGGAAATAGTATTATAAGTTTTCAATAGATTGTTGAAGACCAGGCTCATATCAGGTTATTCCTCAGAAGTATAACAGTAGGTAGAGATAAAATGGAAGCTATTACAAACAGTTGTTTTGTAATTCTGCATTCTAATTTTGCTATAAAGATACTTTAGTACTTTGTCTTCAGTTTGCAAGCTAAACTGAAATACTGAAATATTAGTTTGGAAATACTAAAAGTTTTTTTCTTCATGTTGTACTTTAGGCACTCATAACTCATTTTGAAGTTACCATTTAAGGTGACCACAGACCAAAAGTTATTCCCCCATTGTGCCACTGAGAAAATATTTTTTTAAATTTTGATGGGGCCAATTTGAACATATAAACTTATATAAAGTTGCAAATAAGATAGATCATTATCTAGTTTTAATTTTTTGTTAATTTAGTTACATGTCCATATTTAAAACTATACTTTATAAACTATATAAAATATTAGTTGAAAGGATGGCTTGTTTTATTCTACCCTCACATTTCATAAAACAGTTGTATCGGAGTTTCCTGGTGGTCTAGTGTTTAGGATTTGGTGCTTTCACTGCTGTGGCCCAGGTTCAATCCCTGGTTGGGGAACTGAGATCCCACAAGCCTTGAGGCATGGCAAGAAAACCCCCCCAAAACCCCAAATATATACATATAAAGCCAATTAAAAAAAAACAATTTTATTAAGTTTTACATGCCTCTGACATCAGTAGCTGCATCCTCACGAGAACTACTTTTTGACTCATTTGAAAGTTTTTAAGAAGACACCATCTTTTTTCAAATAAATTTATCTTATTTTTATTTATTTTTGGCTGCATTGGGTCTTTGCTGCTGCATGCGGGCTTTCTCTAGTTGTGACGAGCGGGGGCTGTTCTTTGTTGCAGTGCGAGGGCTTCTCATTGTGGTGGCTTCTCTTGTTGCAGAGCACGGGCTCTAGGCACGCAGGCTTCAGTAGTTGCGGTGCACGGGCTCAGTAGTTGTGGCTCGCGGGCTCTAGAGCGCAGGCTCAGTGGTTGTGGCACATGGGCTTAGTTGCTCTGCGGCATGTGGGATCTTCCCAGACCAGGGCTTGAACCTGTGTCCCCTGCACTGGCAGGCAGATTCTTAACCACTGCGCCATCAGGGAAGTCCCCAAGGGACTTTAAGGACTCAAAAACGAAGTTATTCCCTCATTTCTTTTTGTTTTTCTTTTATAAATTTATTTATCTTATTTATTTATTTTTGGCTGCATTGGGTCTTTGTTGCTGTGCGCAGGCTTTCTCTAGTTGCAACGAGCAGGGGCTACTCTTCGTTGCGGTGCATGGGCTTCTTATTGCGGTGTCTTCTCTTGTTGCAGAGCACGGGTTCTAGGCTCGTGGGCTTTAGTAGTTGTGGCACGTGGGCTCAGTAGTTGTGTCTCGTGAGCTCCAGAGTGCAGGCTCAGTAGCTGTGGCACACAACTAAGCTGTGGCTTAGTTGCTCGCAGCATGTGGGATCTTCCATGGACCAGGGATCGAACCCATGTCCCCTGCATTGGCAGGCAGATTCTTAACCACTGAGCCACCAGGGAAGCCCCTTCCCTCATTTCTAAGGAGTACTTTTTTGGAAAAAATTAATTGCCTTCGATCTGAGAATATATAGTACATTGGAACTAATAAAGTTGGTAGGTGAGTAGGGAAAAAGTGATAGAGATATAAAAGAGCAAAGCAACTTGAATGTCTTCTAACTATGCTGTACTTAACTTTTGGAAACTACTTTTTAAATTTAGTTTTCTTCTTTTCACTGCAGGTCTATGTTTGCACTGTGTGCCAAAATGTTTTTTGTGTGGACTGTGATATTTTTGTTCATGACTCTCTCCATTGTTGTCCTGGCTGTATTCATAAGATTCCAGCTCCTTCAGCTATTTGATTCCAGCATATAATACACATTGAATGTGTTAAAAAGACATTTGCGACTGTAAATAAAATGATTCTTTAGAAGTGAAGAAGTGAAGAACAGTTCAAAAGGAAAGTCTGATCTAAGAAACCTATTACTTTAAAGCTTCCTCTGTAATGATTGGTAAAGTATTTACTTAATGGTGTATATCTAATACCACCATTTTGGTGGTTTGTTATCTGAGACTGGCTTACCTTTTATAGTTCAGGTTAATGAACTACCCTTGTTAGCCTCACTCAGGTTCATACCCAGGGACTGTTTAACTTAATCCCCCTCAACTTTCCTACCCTGGGTCATCAGAAAAATGTAGGTGAGAATGTATGATGAGGTGCATGTTTCAGGTTCAATGAAGATAAACTGTTATAGGCAGGACTCTTTCTAGGGTATACCATTCTGAGAGTGAATCAGGTTTCCATAGCAAAGGTATGTTTATTTTAAATCTATGAACTTTAGTCATTCTAGATTGAGTTTAACTATGATATTCATGATTTTATAAATAACAATTCTTAGTGAAGAATGTTATCAGTAAAGACAATGTAATCCCACCCTGGAGAGTCTATTCAGTAAATCTTGGAGGGGGCTTCTCTGGTGGCGCAGTGGTTGAGAGTCCACCTGCCGATGCAGGGGACACGGGTTCGTGCCCCGGTCCTGGAAGATCCCACATGCCGCGGAGCAGCTGGGGCCCGCTAAGCCTGCGCGTCCGGAGCCTGTGCTCCGCAACGGGAGAGGTCACACCAGTGAGAGGCCCGCATACCACAAAAAAATAAATAAATAAATAAATAAATCTTGGAGGAAGCCCAGGAATATGCATTATTTTCAGTTTTATATATATATATATATATATATATACACACACACATATTCTTTTTCAGATTCTTTTCCCTTATAGGTTATTAGAAAGAATGTGTATTTTTAGCAGCACATGTGTGCACACACACACTAAGACATAATTTGACCAAAGTACAGATCTTTCTCCCAAGAGTCATACTCTCTGCGCCTAGACCCAAATGGTTCTTTACAAGTAAACAGACTTCGGCTCTAGGTAACCAAATTAACTGCTGTCTTCCTTCCTTTTGCTCTGTCCACAAGAGATATCAGTGGCTTGAAGGAGATGCCTTTAACATAATCAGAATATTTTATCTCCCCCTACTTGAAGTAAAAGAAAGGCCATGAATAGGCACCTCTTGAAAAGTTACTTAGAAATATATTAGACACACACTCACAGTACTGTATATAAAAGAGACATTGAGTGCCTTTTGGGGGACTGCTTTATCTCTTTCTACAATTTTGGGGTTTATTTGTATACTTGATAAGGTTAAGGTGAATATTTTAGACGTAAGGAGGAATTTCTAGTCTCAAAATTATAGAGAGGGCTTCCCTGGTGGCACAGTAGTTAAGAATCTGCCTGCCAATGCGGGGGACACAGGTTTGAGCCCTGGCCCAGGAAGATCCCACATGCTGCGGAGCAGCTAAGCTTGTGAGCCACAGCTACTGAGCCTGCGCTCTAGAACCCACGAGCCACAACTGCTGAGTCCGCATGCCGCAACTACTGAAGCCCATACGTCTAGGGCCTGTGCTCTGCAACAAGAGAAGCCACCACAATGAGAAGCCGGCACACTGCAACAAAGAGTAGCCCCTGCTTGCCGCAACTGGAGAAAGCCCGCGTGCAGCAACAAAGAGTCAATGAAGCCAAAAATAAATTAATTAATTAATTTAAAAAAATTATAGAGAAAATCCTGGTTTGTTTAGGTTATAGAAATAAAAATGGTGATCTAATAATACTGTTAGTTCTGGCCTTAGTTTCCCTCATGGAACTCCACAGTATACTACAATAATGAAGGAAACTTTTTAACATTAGGAATCTTTCTGAATAGTATGTCTTTCTGCGTTCTGTTTGATTAGAAAACTCCTTAAAGCTTAAAATTCATTATGAAAATTAGATTTATTTTAAATACTTTTGAATGTATACATTTCACTTCATATTCTTTTTTATTTTCCTGAAAGTCGTTTTGTTTTAACTGAAGCATTTCATCCATTTATATTTAATGTGCCTACTGATACATTTTGGTTTAAATCTACCATCTTACTTTGTGCTATTTGTTTCAACTACTCCATCTTCATTTTTCTCTTCTTGCCTTTTTTTGTATGTTTTTTAAAATTTATTTTATTTATTTTGGGCTGCATTGGGTCTTCGTTGCTGCACACGGGCTTTCTCTAGTTGCGGTAAGTGGGGGCTAGTCTTCATTGCAGTGCACAGGCTTCTCATTGCGGTGGCTTCTCGTTGTGGAGCACGGGCTCTAGGCACATGGACTTCAGTAGTTGTGGCACGCAGGCTCTAGAGTGCAGGCTTAGTAGTTGTGGCGCACGGGCTTAGTTGCTCTGTGGCATGTGGGATCTTCCTGGGCCAGGGATCAAACCTGTGTCCCCTGCATTGGCAGGAGGATTCTTAACCACTGTGCCACCAGGGAAGTTCCTCTTGCCCTTTTTTGGATTGCTTGTTTCCCACCATTCTTTGTTTTCCTAAACTAGTTTGGAAATTGTATACTCTATTTTTATTCTTTTAGAGGTTATTCTAGAAATTACAGTACACATAATTCCTTAACTTGGGTCCTCTAGAAAGTAGAACCTCAGGCAAAGGTGAAAGTATTGTTGCTTTATTTGGGAGATGCAGATCTAGGGAAGTATGATTAAGGAAAAAAAGGGAAAGTGAGACAGGGAAAAACAATAATGTTATCACAGTGGCCAGGCTTGATGACAAACTGTGAAGAGTCATAGGAGTCTCCCAGCAAGTGTGTTCACTTAGAGTTTGGGACTTCTCCAGAAGGTTTATAAAGAGAAGCTGCCCCTTTGCACAGTCTATTGAAGGGAGGAGTGGAGGGTAATGCAATTTCCTAACTTCCTCCATTTCCCACTAGCCAAGGCTTGCCACACAGGGCTGTGTCATCTGGTCCTTTGGTAACTGCTAAGGGAGCCAGCTGTCAGGCTCAGTGGTGTGGCGTTGCAGCCAACTCTGGAAGGTCAGATAGGCTTGGTGTAGTTCAGTTTGGACTGCAGCCCGCTCAGGAAGCTGGGCAAAGGCAGCAGCAGTGCAGAGGAGGAGGCGGGCAGCACCTTGGAAAGAAGGGTGTGGCCAAGAGAATCTGAGGAAGCACTGCTTCCAGTACTCCTTCATAACATCAAAACCTAAAGTTAACTTGTACCTTTACCCTCCCCACGGATAACACATTTAACCTCACTTTCCTCCTTCCTCACTTATTTATTATTATTGTTGTATATTTAATTCTTCTGGTGTTTCACTAGACATTTATATTTGTTTTAATCAGTTAGTATTAAGATTTAATCACATATTTACCACTTTCATGGCTCTTGATTTATTCTTACATCTCAGATCATTGTTGAGGATCATCATCTCAGATCATTGTTGAGGATCATTTTCCTTCGACCTGAAGTACATTCTTCAGAATATACTAGTGTTCAGAATATATAGTATGCTACCTGTTATGTAAGGAAGAAGGAAAAATAAGAATATATATTTGTCTTAGCAAAAAGAAACAGTGGAAAACGATAGAGAAAGTCTATGAAACCAGAAGTTGGTTCAACCAATTGACAAATATTTTGCTAAGTTGACCAAGAGAAAAAAAAAGAAGACTCAAATTACTAAGATCGAGTGAAAGAGGAGATATCACTACGGACCTTACAAAAATAAAGATTGTAGGGGAATACTACAGACAGCTGGGGAAAAGAGTGAATTTTAATGGGTATAGAGTTTCTTCTTGGACTACTGAGAATGTTCTAAGATTGATTGTGGTGATGGCTGTTCAACTCTGTGAACATACTAAAAACCACTGAATTATACACTTTGAATAAGTTCAGTTACATGGTACGTGAAGTATATCTCAAGAAACTGTCTTTTAAAAAAATGAGGGAATTCTCTAGCGGTCCAGTGGTTAAAACTCTGTACTTCCATTGCAGGGGGTATGGGTTCGATCCCTGGTCGGGGAACTAAGATCCCACAAGCCACACCACGTGGCCGAAAAAAAATTTTTTTTTTTTTAAATAAAAAGAAACACTGGAAGAATACATAGGGAACTAATAAAAATGGTTGCCCGGGGTGGTGGTGTAGCACAGTGGAGAGTAAGAATTATTTGTAAATATTTTTATGTAGTTAAAAATTTTAAGCCCTGTAAATGAATTAAGTATTCAAAAATAATAAAACTTAGTGGAATCCTGGGAAGTTGTGGTGAGGGAGATGAAAGTAATGTAGCTAACGTTAGCTGTTAGTTGAGGGCCTGAAAGCAATCATGTTCATCAAATAAGGTAATAGGTATGGAACTGGAGGTTGGAGGGGAACTGTAATAAAATTTCTTTTTCATTTATTTGGGTCATAGTGCAAACAATACATTTCCACCTATATGTGGCAATATGTACACTGTTTCTGTTTGTTGTGACCTTGTTTGCCCTTGAGAATAACTACAAGGTGAAAATTGCAGTACTATTTGGAGGCTGAAGAAGAGAGATAAGTAGATTAAAAGCATGTAAGTCCTGTATTTAAGAAGCACAGGTGACCCACTGTATATCTGAGTACATGCTATAATCAAAACACTAATGTATGTTGAAACTGCGGAAACAACAGGGCTTCTGCTGCTCGGAATGGCAGTAGGGAAGAAGAACTGTAAACATTTTGTAAGATTTCTCAATACTTCGTGAAATTCCTCATGTTTGTGGTCCTGTGTTCAGCTGTCTGTATCTCTGTAGTGATCGGCAAATTTATAACATGAAATAATTTCTTGAGTGATGAGAAAGAAAGGGTACAACCAGCCCTTGGGAAGTGGGGTGGTAGAGTCCCATGATCTTTAGTAGGTGATAGAGTTTAGGCAAAAGGGCAAGAAGTTTGAGTCCCTGAGGCCTACAGTAAGGAAGAAAAGGGCACAGGAGATTGTCGTGCTTCTGGGAAGTAGCCTCGGGAGTGTCCTAATACCCCTTTTGGGTCCAGTTCTGCGGAGCACAGGCTCCGGACGCGCAGGCTTAGCGGCCATGGCTTACGGTCCCA